TATGTGTGAGTACTTTAAATGTGACTAGTGTTACTGAGGAATCAAATTTTAAATTTTATTTATTTTTAATTAGTTTAAATGTAAATAGTGATAGCATAGATAGTGCATTAGATAGATGAACTCCTCCACGGAGACCGCATGTTCTTTATCTTTGTGTCTTCAGAGTAAAGACAATGCCCTAGTTATAATAATGCCTTAGCAAGTGTGAGGAATTTGTGTTAAAAGATATGTTTTAGGTGACAATGGCTGTTTTACTCCTAAAGGCAATCTAAGCTGGGCTAGTCAAATGTATCTCATCTATTGATGTGTTAGTCAGCTCTTGCTGCACTCATGGTGTGTAACAAACAACTGTAATCTCTCAGTGCTATATTATAACAACAAAACTTATTTCTTGCTTGGTTATGACTTGGCTCTAGGTTGTGAATTGGGTCCAGGCCTGCTCCATGTGTTCAGGCATGATGTCTTAGTGGGGTGCCAAAATTTAAAAGGCCAAGCCAGACCTTGCAAGCACATTTAAAACCTCTGTTTGGGGGTGCCTGGGTGGCTTGGTCGGTTGAGTGTTCAGCTTTTGATTTTGGCTTAGGTCATGATCTCGGGGTCCTGGGATGAGCCCTACATCAGGCTCCAAGCCTGGTTCAGAGTCTGCTTGTCCCTCTCTTTCCCTCTGCTTCTCCCCCAATTCATGTGCTCCCTCTCTCTCAGTTTCTCTCTGTCTCTCAAATAAATAAATAAAATCTTTAAAAATAAATTAAATTAAACCATTGTTTGTGTCACATTGATTCACATTGTGTTGACCAAAACAAGTCATGGTTAAGCTCCAGTATGACGAGTGCAGAATCAGTTTCTTCCCATGGAGGATGGGTAGAAAAGAGTGGATATTTACTAAGCAATAACAGTAACTATAGGTGAATGCTGGTTTTCTTTTCCTTAGGGAAGTGGTTCTCATCTGGGGATGATTTTGCCCCATAGGAGACACTTGGTAATGTCTGCAGATGTTTTTGATTGATACAACTGCTGGCATGGGGAGGATTGTGACTGACAGCTAGTGGATAGAGGCCAAAGATGCTGCTAAATATTCTGTAATGCACAGGGCATCCCCTGCCCCTGAAAGAATTATCCAGTGCACACTATCATTAGTGCCCAGGTTGAGAGGACTTGCCATAAAATATTAGTTCCAAAATTTTAGCATGCATCAGAATCACCTATAGGATTTATTAAAATACAGACTCTCAAAGGGGTTAACTCTGAAAGTTTCTGATGTAGTTCTAGAATTCCTAAATTCCCAGATGATAATGATGCTGCTGGTCCAGGGACCATACTGTGAGAACCACTGCTTTAAGAATCAGTACATCATACAAAAGTTTTTTCTGGATCATATCATTTGTGTGCTTTATCATGGTACCTGTTAAAGCACTTATCACAAATTGGTCTTTCAGTTCTTTCGTTTGGGCTAGAAGAATCGAGGTATAATACCGAGTGGGAAGCTTTGGAAAAGAAGTTTACTCTATGAGTCATGGCATTGGCACATAAACATATGTTTATAAAATGTTCTGTTTGTGAGATATATTTTGAAGAAGTAGAAGCTGATAATCATACTTAGTACTCCAGAGGTAAAGATTTAGACTGATTGGTTCTTGACGAGATTGTAGAGATTGCACCTACTTAGTTGTACTGTTGTAGTTTCCTAAGCAGTATCTCAGAAACAAATTTAAAATGATTAGTCTTGAGTTACAGGACATCTCTTATTCTGGATAAGTTATTCAGGTTTTTTGTTTAATGTTTATTTTGCTTGTTAAGAACAAACACCATCTTATGAAATTCTTTGAGCTCACACAGGTAAAACTGTGAAATGAAGAGAAAAAAACTAGCTAAATAGCTAAAATAAAGTTAGTGTCAAAAGATCTTTTAATCATAGAACATTTAATGGTGGAGCTCTTAAGGAAAAGTCGTATAACTGAGTTATCTTCTTTTAGGGAGCTCATAAGCTGGTAAGAAGAAAAAGGTATTTAAAACTTAAGAACTCTTTATATTGGTAGCAAAACAACTTTTTATCTTATAACTTGTGGAAGTAAATATTCTGGATTAGCCCTAAAAATAATGTATAAAGAAAGAATAGAAGCATGGTCTAAGGTAGCACTGTCAATAGGAGTGTAATGCAAGTGCATGTGTAATTTGAATTTTTCTAGTAGCTACATTAAAAAGGATAAATTGGTGAAATTAGTTGTAATATGTTTTTAAACCAATATAAGTAGACTTATTATTAATGAGATATTTTGTATTTCTTACTAGTCTTTAAAAACCAATGTGTATAGCAAATTTAAAGTTGAACTAGCTATATTTCAAGTGTTCAGTAGCCACATGTGGCTAGTGGCTACCATATTGTACAGCACAGATCTAAGAGTTACAGAGTGAGTAATGGAGGAGCTCAGTTTTTATATTTTAAGAAGATTTTCTTTGGGGCAATAGAAAGCTATTTTTTGAACATTTGCCTTGGTCACAGTCTGAATTCAGACCATCATCACTTGCAATGGCTTACCATGGCTTTCTCCCTTCCTGGCATTGAAGAATCTATCTGAAGACCCTGATCTGATTATTTCCTGATCATATGACTTACCTACTAAAAATTCTTCAGTAGGTTGGTTTATTTTTCAAGACAATTTATACTTCATCTCTTAGTGCACTAGTCTGTATGATCTGACTCCTTTCATATGTCTCTGACTCATTTCCTGATTTAATCCAATGTGTATAGCCTTAGCTTCCAAAAGGACCTACCTTTGTTTCTGATAGATTCCACTTTTCTTTTCCCATGCCATTACATGTTTTTCTCTTTACTGAATGCTCTTTAACCTTGCTCTTCTACCTCTTTACCTAGCTAACTCCTATTACTACTTCAGAATACAATGCAAAAATTATTTTCTCTGGGAAAACCCCTCTCATTCACTAGTATATACTGTAAAGGCAGCATGTGCAAATTTAAGATACAAATCGCAGACTGGGGAGAGCATATTTGGATCACGTGGAACAGACATGGGGTTAATATCTATAATAGTAGAAGAGTTATAAAGCAATAAAAAGACCAAAGTACAGTGAAAATATAGGAGATTATGAATAGTTATTTTCTATGAGAAAAAATATAAATGATCAATGAAAGTTTGAAATCTAATTTTTCACCTATCAGGTTAGTAAATATGTGAAAGAATGATTGCATTTTAACATGAGTACACAGCAGAGCTGTCCAACAGAAATTAAAGCAAACCACATATGTAATTTAAAATTATCTAGTACCCATATTAAAATTAAAAAAGGTACAATTAACTTTCATAATTTATTTTGTCTCAGTATGTCCAAAATGATTTTAATATCTAATCAATATAAAAACTTATTAAATAGGGGCGCCTGGGTGGCTCAGTCGTTAAGCGTCTGCCTTCGGCTCAGGTCATGGTCTCAGTGTCCTGGGATCGAGCCCCGTGTCGGGCTCCCTGCTCAGCGGGAAGCCTGCTTCTCCCTCTCCCATTCCCCCTGCTTGTGTTCCTGCTCTCGCTGTCTCTCTCTGTCAAATAAATAAATAAAATCTTAAAAAAAAACCTTATTAAATAGATACTTAATGTCTTTATACTATGTCTTCAAAACCTAGTGTAAAGATTTCAGAATACCCTAATTTTTACTAGTTATGTAGAGGAATAGGTGTTTTTGTACATTATTGGTAAAGATGCATTTTGGAGGAGAATTTGGCAATATTTATCAAATTAAAAATTTAAATCACCCAGGGTTCTATTCCTAGAAATCCATCCTCCAGAAATACTAATATGCACTTAAAGATTATAGATAGGTAGATGTTTACTGCAGTGTTGTTTTAACAGGAAAACATTGGAAACAGCCTAAATGTCCTCTAGAGTTTTCGTTAAATAATTATGATATTTCCAGGCAGCGAGATACTGTATAACTTTTAAAAAATGTGGGAGCTGTTTAGGTTAACTGAGTTTTTATATGGGTTAAATAAATGTTAATATAATCATGTAAGATACTTAGAATGTGTCTGGCCCATAGTAAATGTGATATCAGTGTTTGCTGCTATTATTATTAATATTATTATTGATACTGAAGAATCTTCTAGATATGTTAAGTGAAAAAGAAATGCAAAGTGTAGAACTTTGTAAGGTATGCCATTATTTGTGTAGAGGGGAAAAAAGATATATGCATTTGCTTATATATGTGTATGGTATCTGTGAAACAGTATGTAAAAAACTGATAATACTGATTATATTTGGAGAGGGAAACTAGATAGTGGGAGGGGGAATAGAGACTTTCCACAATGTTCTTTTTTCTACCTTTGGAATTTGATCCATAATGAATATAGTACTTAGTGAAAAAATTAAAATGTAAATTAAATTTATTTCTCTTAAATATTTTTGAGAAATCCATACTTTACCATTAAGTTATTTCTATAATTAGTATGAATTATAATGATTTTAATCAAGAAAAAATAATACAGGATATTTTTACTTCAGTTATGTAGAATGGCTAGATGATATGAGATTCTAGGCAAATTTAATTTTTGATTAATCAGAAACATTTGGTTTCAAAGTGTGTATGACTTTTGAAAATATTTCTTAAGTTGTCCTTCTTGTTGCCATAAGAAAGATATATGGCATATTGGACTTAATAAAATCTGATTTTGTAGGACATGAGGATCATTCTTACTACCACCTTATAGAAAGTGTAAGAAACTGGGTTTGAATATGTGCTGTCTTTAGAGTATATTTAGAAGACATTCTTTAAAAATTAAAGCCAACAACCAAGAACACTTGCCCTAATATAAACTTTTGTGTGCATATTCTAAGAGTTGAGGTCTGGTGAAGAGGATGGAAGAATTCTAGTTAATTTAAATTTTACAGTATTGACCATCCTATCTATCACATTTTCTAGACAAATGTGAATTTTATATTTGGAATATATAGCTCTTTCTTGTTCATGAAAACTTACTGTCACTTGTGTTTTAGGATTTGGAGTGGATCAATTACGAGATGACAATCTTGAGACTTATTGGCAATCAGATGGCTCCCAGCCTCATTTAGTAAACATCCAATTCAGGTAATACATTTTTGGATTTTTTGATTTGTGTAGGTTAACTGGACAAAGTGATCTATTTTATTTACATAAAATTGAAAGAAATATAGAAATTATAGCGAAATGCACTTAACTCTGGTTTTTATAAGCCTTGAGATTATTTTTCTATTCCTTTAGATTGTGTTTTAAGTTTTCTCAGTCTTGTCTTTTGTGAATTCTTTGTAATACTTTACACAGTTCCTTTTACGTAGAGATTTCTTAAATGTACTTTTCATGTGATTTATTTTGGAAAAATATGCTTTGCTTATGACCCAAAGCAATGAATGCCTTCCTTAATGCATTGCATTAACTACAACTGGAGTGATAATAGTAAGTTCTTTAGGTATAGTCTATTCATGTAATTCTCAAATTTGTATTTCCATTTGGAAAAAAAATTATTTTAACCTAGAACCTCTAAGGACATTTTCAGGTTTGAAATGCTTACTTTCTCAGGGAAAGGAAAATTACCATATGGTTTTCAATTGCTTTGAATTTATTGAGATAGATGGAAACCAGCTAACTTGATTATTTTGCCCCACTTATATCATCTATTTTAACTTTTTTTTTTAAAGATTTAATTTATTTATTTTGACAGAGAGAGAGACAGCAAGAGAGACAGCGAGAGAGGGAACATAAGCAGGGGGAGTGGGAGAGGGAGAAGCAGGCTGTCCGCGGAGCAGGGAGCCCGATGCGGGGCTCGAACCCAGGACCCTGGGATCATGACCTGAGGCGAAGGCAGACGCTTAATGACTGAGCCACTCAGGCGCCCCTATTTTAACATTTTATAGCGTTGTATTTTTAGTTTGTTTTTCTTTTTAAAAAATATTTTATTTTTAAGTAATCTCTACACCCAATGTGGGGCTTGAACCACAACCCCAAGATCAAGAGTTGCATGCTAAGTGCCATTTTAGTTTGTTTTTCTCACTGAGGGTACAGATCAACAAATTTCTTTCTTTGTTTTTTAAGATTTATTTATTTATTTATTATTTTTTTTTTAAGGTTTTATTTATCTATTTGACACAGAGAGACAAAGCGAGAAGAGGGAACACAAGCAAGGGGAGTGGGAGAGGGAGAAGCAGGCTCCCCGCTGAGCAGGAAGCCCGATGCAGGACTCAATCCCAGGACCCCGTGACCACGACCTGAGCCGAAGGCAGACACCCAACGACTGAGCCACCTAGGGGCCCAATTTATTTATTTGAAAGAGAGAGTGTGCAAGCGAGCACACAGAGGGAGAGGGAGAAGTAGACTCCCTGCTGAGCAGGGAGCCCATTGTGGGGCTTGATCCCAGGACCCTGGGATCATGACCTGAGTTGAAGGCAGATGCTTAACTGAGTGAGCCACCCAGGTGCCCCAGATCAGCAAATTTCTTATGAAAAAAACAGATAACAAGCATTTTACGCCTTCTGGGCTATCGGGTCTCTTTTGCGACTACTCAGGCCATCATTGCAGGAAAGCAGCCATAGGCAATGCACACTGGCCAAACTTAACTATTCTAATTAAACTTTATCTTAAAGGGGTGCCTGGGTGGCTCAGTCATTAAGCATCTGCCTTCAGCTCAGGTCATGATCCCAGGATCCTGGGATCGAGTCCCGCATCAGGCTCCCTGCTCGGCAGGAAGTCTGCTTCTCCCTCTCCCACTCCCCCTGCTTGTGTTCCCTCTCTTGCTGTCTCTCTCTCTGTCAAATAAATAAATAAAATCTTTAAAAAAGTAAATAAACTTTATCTTAAAAAAGTAGGTGATGGGCAGAGTTCACCCATTGGGTAGTAGTATGCCAATTCTTGTGTACTAAATATGTATATACCAGAAATAAAAACAGCACCTTATATTTTTTAAAGACTTAAAATATCAGATACTTTGCTAAAATGCATTACCCGTTCATTTCTTTTAACCTTTACAGCTATTTTTATCCTTATTATTTTATTTTATTTTATTTATTTTATTCTTATTTTTGCAAATTTCAAGAACCACCAGTTCTTTATTGGTGAAAACATGAATCCAAATGGCATGATTGCTCTGCTGGACTACCACGAAGATCGTGTGAACCCATATGTGATTTTCTTCAGGAATGGTTTAGAAATGGAAAAATGCTAACGAATTTGGCTATTACTTTGGGTGTGTCACCTGTTGTCATACCTGGCTGTTGCTTTTCATCCACACAACACCAGGACTTAGACAAATGGGGTGGATGTCATCTTGAGCTCTTCATTTATTTTGACCTTGACTTATTTGGAGCAGGGGCATTGTTTTGTTTTGTTTTAATTTTATTTTATTATGTTATGTTAATCACCATACATTACATCATTAGTTTTTGATGTAGTGTTCCATGATTCATTGTTTGCGTATAACACCCTGTGCCCCATGCAGTACGTGCCCTCTTTAATACCATCACCGGGCCAACCCATCCCCCCATCCCCCTCCCCTGTAGAACCCTCAGTTTGTTTTTCAGAGTCCATTGTCTCTCATGGTTTGTCTTCCCCTCCAATTTCTGTCCCCTTCATTTTTCCCTTCCTGCTATCTTCTTTTATTTTAAATATATAATGTATTATTTGTTTCAGAGGTACAGGTCTGTGATTCAACAGTCTTAACATAATTCACAGCGCTCTCCATAGCACATACCCTCCCAATGTCTATCACCCAGCCACCCCATCCCTCCCACCCCCCACCACTCCAGCAACCAATCTCGTACTTAAAGAAGGGTTCCAAGTACAGTACAGTTTTTTTCCCCCGAATTGTTTCAGAGTAAGTTGCTGATATATGTCTCAACTCTCCAGAATCCTTTCTGTATGTCATTCCTATAAAGAAAGACATTCTCCTACATAACCACAATACATCCTTAGGAAATTAACACTGATATATTTAATTCTACAGCCCCATTCCTGTTCTACCAATTGTGCCAGTAAAGTTGAATCACAGGTTGAATTTGGTTGTCCTTCTCTTTACTCTCCTTTAATCTGGAACATTTCTTCACTTTTTATTTGACTCGGCACTTTTGAAGATTATAGGCCAGTTATTTTAAAGAATGTCCCTTAATTTCCATTTCTTTGATCTTCACGAGTAACTTCAGATTATACATCTTTAGGAAAAGTAGCACAGAAGTGATGTTCTGTGCTTGTCATTCATTGTATCTTACTGTTTGGGATACATGATTTGCATTTTGTCCCATTACTGATGATGTTTACTTCTATTATATGATTAAGGTAGTATCTACCAAACTTCTCCATTGAAAAGTTTCTTTCATTTTATTCAAAATTATTAATATCAGCACGGACTCAGAGTTTACTCTTTTACTTACCTGCTTTAAATCTGTTATTATCATTTGTGTCAGTGCTCAAATTGCCTCAGATTTGGCCAGTGGGAGTCCCCTCCAGTTGACACTATTACCTTTTGATAGTCTCTGTGGTTATTGAGCAATTTCTTTTGTTCTGGTACAATATTCTGTGCCCCATTTCTCTAAGATCGGGTGTATTGTAGTGGAGAATAATAGTTAAAAACCAGATCTTGTGAGGTGCCTGGATGACTTGGCCGGTTAAGCATCTGACGCTTGATTTCGGCTCAGGTTGTGGTCTCAGGCTTGTGAGATTGAGCCCCACATCTGGCTCCCTGCTCAGCGGGGACTCTGCTCGAGTTTCTCTCTCTCCCTCTCCCCCTCCCCCCCTTGTGCACCCTCTCTCAAATAAATAGATCTAAAAAAAAAAAAGAGAGAAAGAAACCAGATTGATATATTGAGCACACCCAATACACCAGTTTTTGTATTGGGTGTGCTCATTGCTATGGGATGCTTCTATATCGGAGCCTTCTCAATAAGGGGATATATGTACATAACATATACACATACATACATCAACATATTTACATCTGTATTTATTTCTCTGTCTTCATACATACACAGATCATAAATTCATACCGACACTTCCAATTCTAATCCAGAGTGAACAGGGTTTAGTCTAGTTTTTTCTCTTTCTATTGATAAACCCCTTCTTCATGAATGAGAACTTGGTTGGTTCTCTTATCCTTCCTTACTTATCTCATTAATCCCCCTGCATGGAAGCAGTCTTCCATTTCTCTCATTGTCCCCTCCCCGACAGGTACCCCTTCACCCCATCTAGGCTCTCAATCTGTCCTGTGTTGTTGTCTTTTCACTCTCTCTGTACTTCCCTATTTGCAGATAACCTGGTCTGGGCCCTGGCATCTTAACATTAGTCACTCCCTTGTGTGGGATGTTCTCTTCAGCTCACTTGGGCTTTGATGTTGCATGCCAGGCCACTTTTCTAACCCTTCTTGGCTCCAGAACCTCACTGGATGGTATAAATGCCCTCTTTTATCCCCCTTTGGGCTTGACACTCCGTAATAGGCTATCTTACAACGTAGATGACTTCTCACTCCACAAAGGCTCTTATATGCTGCATTGGCCCACCTTGTAGTGTGGATGTCTTCATCACCCCACTCAGGCTCTAACACCCCATACCTGGCTGCTCTCCTCTTCAGAAGTTCTGCTCACTTCCATATGGGCTCCAACACTCTGTACTACACTTGCTCCCCTCCCCCGTGTGAATGCACTCCTCACTTTGAACAGCCTCCAATATCCCGTTTTTATGCATGTGCCTGTCTTGCTTGGTTCTTTCTCATAGCTTTAGGATTAAATCATTCAGAAAGGGGAAGCACTTTTTATATAAAAAATAAAGGAGGTTCTTTTTTATATAAAAGTTTTGTATTTCTTAAAGTGGTTTTTAAAATCAAAATGATATTGAATGCTCGTCCCTGTATTAGTGGATAATAAACTATTATATTTCAAATAGATGAAATAATAATAAATTATAATTCTACACTTAATCTGCATCCCTCTGCCCCCCTTTTCCAAAAAAAAAAATCAAGCTCAAGATGGGAAAGGAGGACAAAGCAAGAAGTGCAAAATATCTTTAGTAATTTTGGTTGACAGTAAATTTAATCTTAGTTAACAGAGTGATGTGGCTGCTAGAAGAACTAA